ACCTACGACAGGGGAGAACGGCCGGCCGCGCTGATTGGAGACCGCTCGCCCTGACCTCTCTTTCCCGGGGACTTAGTTGGATAGCGCCGGTCTCCGGAGCCAGTCCCCATTGGGGAAAGGGCCTCTTGGGCACGCCCCCGACCCCTCCCGCCGCTCATTGGCGGCCCCACTTCCGCCTCTGCGCCATTGGTCTGCAGCGACCGGGGGGGCGGAGCCCGGAGGGGGCGGGTCCTGGCGGGCAGTCCCAGCCGGACCCCTGGGCCCAGAGCGGTGGGTGACCTTGGCTGGGCTCGGCCCTTCCTCATCGTGCCAGCACCCAGTCCACCTGTTCCTCGCGCTCAGAGTGCAGTGGGAGAAGGGCCTGTCCAGGACTGGAAAGCTGTTCTCGCTCCCGTGAGTGGTACACGGGCTGTGCACCAGCCTCCTGACTCCATTCAGGGACTGCCCACCTGTGGTCCTCGGTCTTCTGCGGACTTAGTGGGGATGCCAATGCCGGAGATCCACCCAGTGCTGAGGAATTGGTTTCTCGGGAACCCCTAGCTCTTGCCAGCCCCCAGAACTCACCCTATTACTCAGACAATTGGGAGAAGTGCTACTCCGCACTTTGCCATCCAGGGCCCGCCAAGCAGGGACAGGAGTGCAAAGCTGTGAGGAAGCACAAAGCTCCCCGCACACAGCTCTCTAACGCAGAAGGAGCCACAAAAGCCACACTGTGCATTTCACCCTGTTGCCTCCCCACACTACTCCTCTTAACAGCTGCTGAACTTCCCGCATCCCAAGGCTGGAAGGGGTGCCAGTGACCCCAAGAGCACAGCTTCTTTGCCCACATGCCATGAAGAAGCTCACTCCCAGTTGAGGGCTGCACAGCACCCACCACACTCTTTCAGGCCCAGTGGAGCCAAGGGAGAAGGGGAAACGGGGGGGGGGCACGGGCGCAGAGATGCTACTAGCCTTCCCCTCCTCTCTCCCAGTAATGGCACTACTGCCTGCTACATCACTCACCTCTCAGGGACAGGGCTCCAAGGACACCTGGGGCTCTGCATAGACCGGGGGCAGGTTTCAACCTGGGTGCCCTTCTCAGCTTCTGGGTCCCGTGGTGGTCTGCACTGACTGACTGACACCTCTCCATTCTGTTGAGCCGAGCAAATAAACTGGATTTCAGCTTTCAGAAGTCAAGTGTCTCCTTCCTCGGCTCTCATCAAATCACCTTTCCAAAGGAAACGAAGCCTTCTCATGCACATCACCTCTACAGCAACAGGATCACTCAGTCCTGAACTACAGAACACAACAGGATACAACAACACATGCGATCTAAAAATAACATTAAAGGGAAAAAAACACTCCCTGGCACTTGGCTGGCTCGGTCAGAGAAGCGTGCGACCTCTTGATCTCAGGGTCGTGAGTTCGAGTCTCACATTGGTTGTAGAGATTATGTAAATAAACTGAAATAAATAAAAGTCCATTCTAATGTTCAGCTTGTATCTGAGTTTGACGCAAATTATGCCAATACTGGGTAGGAAACATTTTTATAGCTGTGGGACACACCAGAACAGTCTCCAACTCAAGCATCTCAATGGTTCAGGCCATGCAGCATCCATTCTAGGCAAAGGGTCACAAAGCTGCTTCACCAGAATAAGACTGCAAATTTGTTCTAGAAAGGGCCGGACAGTAAATATTTTAACCTAGTGGTTCTCACCAGGGTCAGTTTTGTCCCCCAGAAGACTTGTTAATGTATGAAGACACTTTTGGTTGTCACAAGTGAGGCGTGCTACCGGCATCTAGTGAGTAGAGGCCAGGGATGCTGGCCAGGGATGTTGTATTCTACAATGCTCAGAACAGCCC